CCTTTTATAGACCCTGAAAAATATTCTTTAAAAAATCCACGCCTCTTATAGACCCCGAAAAAATATTCTTTAAAAAATCCACGCCTGCTATAGACCCTGAGAAATTTTCTTTAAAAAATTCACCCTGAAAAATCCTTGGGCCTCTCAGATGGTTAGTTGGCTATTTGATCAGCATTCCATTTACATTTTGTCGCGTGATAGACCCCACCAAGATATGGTGTGGCACATGGACTTGTTTTGGTATTAATCATGACAACATAGATATTTTTGAATGTATGGTGGGCCATAATTCGTTATATGAATGAGGAGAGAGAGTTATATAGCCCCGGATGATAAGAGACCTTAGGTATTGACATTGGTAAAAAATCGGTTTCAATGTTGTTGTCATGGTTTGGCATGTGCCATTGGTCTGTGGCTATTGATTAGTCGAAATGTTTACCCCAAGATTAAGATTACCTTAGGCGATAATTCGCTGCATGAGACCAACGGTTGTAAAAAAAATGTTTACTAAAAATTGCTTAAGAAGTGGGAGGAAATGTTACCACCGGCAAAGAATAGAAAAAAAATTACTTCAAGCAGTTATCGATAATTTCCAAAAAAAAAGTTCAAGGAAAAATTTTCAAGTACCATCTGACCAAAAGGCGTGGATTTATTAGATTTTTTTCAGGCACCATGGGACCAAAGTGTAGGCTTTTTTAAATATTTTTTTTTCGAGAACCACCTCCGCGAACGGCGTGGATTTTTTAAAGAATATTTTTAAGGGACCATCTCAGCAAAAGGCGTGGATTTTTTAAAGATTTTTCTTCGAAGACCATCTCAGCGAAAGGCGTGGGTTTTTTAAAGAATATTTTTAAGGGACCATCTCACCAAAAGGCGTAGATTTTTTTAAAGATTTTTTTTCGAGGACCATTTCAGTGAAAGACTTGGATTTTTAAAGAATTCTTTTCGATGACAGCGAAAGACGTGGATTTTTAAAGAATATTTTTCAGGTTTATTTTTTAACGAAATATTCCCCCTCCATTCATAAATATGTCACTCACATCGTTTCATTTCCATTCAAAACATTTTTTCTTGTAATACAGAAAAATTAACTTCCGCAAAAGAGCAACAAACTACATTGGAACGGGTGTCATCCGATTCGGCCATGTCAATGTTATTGTAAACAAATTAGCTATAAACCAAATTAAAATTACACACTCTAGAGCAATAAATCCAAATCGTGGGAAAAATGAGTCAATATAACCAATATTAATATGTATGTCGGTATGTCCATACACATGTCTGAACATCAATGCAATTTAAAACAATTTTAATCACGTACCTACATTACATATTATTATGGGCATACAAACATACATATGTATAAAACAACAACAATAAAGTAAAGTAAATCAGTATTCCAAGTTTGAAATAAATATCGGGTATTTATACGGAGAGTGTTATTGAACTTGAAGTGGACGATGACGACGATAATGAGGATTGCGAATGAGTATCGAGTAATAAATATGAATACGAATAGTGTTTCAGACCCTACTGAAATATATCTGGAGGCAATATGATATGTATTTTTGCCATTTTTTGCATGGCGTTAAAAACCTCACAAATCATTGGGCAAAAAAATTCAGTTTTTTGCAAGTGTTCAAAATATTTTGCAATCACTTCACAAGTGTTGTTATGTATGTGCGTATGTATGTTTGAAAAAATGTTATGTTTAAAAATAAATATCCGCATGCGTAATAGAAATACATACATACACACATATGGCATAAACATCAATAATGTAGGTCAGGTTCATTGAAAATACTTAGCCCTTCCGGACAAATACCATCTGCCAAAGAGATAAGAACTGGTCAAGATGAGAGCGTGGATATTTAAACAAATGACGCATATAGACATTGAATATTAATATCTAAAACGCCTTTTGCTCGAAAAATATTCTTAAAAAATCCACGCCTTTTCCTTGAAAAATATTCTTTAAAAAATCTACGCCTTTTGCTCGAAAAATATTCTTTAAAAAATCTACGCCTTTTGCTCGAAAAATATTCTTTAAAAAATCTACGCCTTTTGCTCGAAAAATATTCTTAAAAAAATCCACGCCTTTTGCGGAGATCGTCCTCGAAAAATATTCTTAAAAAAACCCACGCCTTTTCCTTGAAAAATATTCTTAAAAAAATCCACGCCTTTTCCTTGAAAAATCTTCTTAAAAAAATCCACGCCTTTTCCTTGAAAAATATTCTTAAAAAAAAATCCTTAAAATCCACGCCTCAGGTGGCCCTTGAAAAATCTTCTTTAATAAATCCACGCCTCAGTTGGCCCTTGAAAAATCTTCTTAAATCCACGCCTCAGTTGGCCCTTGAAAAATATTCTTTAATAAATCCACGCCTCAGTTGGCCCTTGAAAAATATTCTTTAATAAATCCACGCCTCAGTTGGCCCTTCAGTTGGCCCTTGAAAAATATTCTTTAATAAATCCACGCCTCAGTTGGCCCTTGAAAAATATTCTTTAATAAATCCACGCCTCAGTTGGCCCTTGAAAAATATTCTTTAATAAATCCACGCCTTGAAAAATATTCTTTAATAAATCCAGTTGGCCCTTGAAAAATATTCTTTAATAAATCCACGCCTCAGTTGGCCCTTGAAAAATATTCTTTAATAAATCCACGCCTCAGTTGGCCCTTGAAAAATATTCTTTAATAAATCCACGCCTCAGTTGGCCCTTGAAAAATATTCTTTAATAAATCCACGCCTCAGTTGGCCCTTGAAAAATATTCTTTAATAAATCCACGCCTCAGTTGGCCCTTGAAAAATATTCTTTAATAAATCCACGCCTCAGTTGGCCCTTGAAAAATATTCTTTAATAAATCCACGCCTTGAAAAATATTCTTAATAAATCCACGCCTCAGTTGGCCCTTGAAAAATATTCTTTAATAAATCCACGCCTCAGTTGGCCCTTGAAAAATATTCTTTAATAAATCCACGCCTCAGTTGGCCCTTGAAAAATATTCTTTAATAAATCCACGCCTCAGTTGGCCCTTGAAAAATATTCTTTAATAAATCCACGCCTCAGTTGGCCCTTGAAAAATATTCTTTAATAAATCCACGCCTCAGTTGGCCCTTGAAAAATATTCTTTAATAAATCCACGCCTCAGTTGGCCCTTGAAAAATATTCTTTAATAAATCCACGCCTCAGTTGGCCCTTGAAAAATATTCTTTAATAAATCCACGCCTCAGTTGGCCCTTGAAAAATATTCTTTAATAAATCCACGCCTCAGTTGGCCCTTGAAAAATATTCTTTAATAAATCCACGCCTCAGTTGGCCCTTGAAAAATATTCTTTAATAAATCCACGCCTCAGTTGGCCCTTGAAAAATATTCTTTAATAAATCCACGCCTCAGTTGGCCCTTGAAAAATATTCTTTAATAAATCCACGCCTCAGTTGGCCCTTGAAAAATAAAATAAATCCACGCCTCAGTTGGCCCTTGAAAAATATTCTTTAATAAATCCACGCCTCAGTTGGCCCTTGAAAAATATTCTTTAATAAATCCACGCCTCAGTTGGCCCTTGAAAAATATTCTTTAATAAATCCACGCCTCAGTTGGCCCTTGAAAAATATTCTTTAATAAATCCACGCCTCAGTTGGCCCTTGAAAAATATTCTTTAATAAATCCACGCCTCAGTTGGCCCTTGAAAAATATTCTTTAATAAATCCACGCCTCAGTTGGCCCTTGAAAAATATTCTTTAATAAATCCACGCCTCAGTTGGCCCTTGAAAAATATTCTTTAATAAATCCACGCCTCAGTTGGCCCTTGAAAAATATTCTTCAGTTGGCCCTTGAAAAATATTCTTTAATAAATCCACGCCTCAGTTGGCCCTTGAAAAATATTCTTTAATAAATCCACGCCTCAGTTGGCCCTTGAAAAATATTCTTTAATAAATCCACGCCTCAGTTGGCCCTTGAAAAATATTCTTACTTTTGCGGAGATCGTCTTCGAAAAATATTCTTTAAAAAATCCACGCCTTTTCCTTGAAAAATATTCTTAAAAAATCCACGCCTTTTGCGGAGATAATCCTCGAAAATATTGTTTAAAAAATCCACGTCTTGAGCTCGGATGGTCTCTGAAAAAAGGAAACCTTAATATTAAAAGATCTTCGGAAAATGTTACTTTAAAATTTTACCTTATAACTCCATATGGTCCTTTAAATATTCCCTTATAAATCCACTTTTATACCCAAAATCGTCCTTGAAAGTATATTCTTGAAAAAAAATCAACGATTTTTATCTACAAAAGCCGTTTAAAATGAAACATCAACAATTCTTCTTCTTACTCCCTTGTCAACACAATGACATGCTCTCTGAAATGATAACACCAACCATTAAATGTACTGATGTTCGATAGCACACACCTATGTTATCGATAGCGGCCTTAAACAGCTGTTGTTTTTTACATTTTCTCATGTCCCATTCTAAACAAAAGTGATAATTATTCTCTGTTATGCTTCACATGCATTCGTAAACACTAGCACTTTGTTTTGGGCTTTGTTTTTTATCACCCCATTCTATACTGTCTCATATCTTCGTGTTATTTGTCAATGGTTCATATGGTTCAGGTCAGTGAATCGTTCAGTTTTGAACTAATTTGCAAACAAAACAATAACGCAATAAACAATTGGCAAAAAATTGTAAAATTATTAAAATTTTAAAGATAATAACAATAAAAATAAACAAAAATATATTATGGCTTAAAGGAGAGCCGGCAAAAGTGAAGGGAATTGCTAGAATTCTATAAAGTCATCTCTGGCTATGGGTATATACCCCACCCCCAAAAAAATTTGCAGAATACAAATCATCATAGAAGAAAGCTTTCTCGTCTTATCAGAGCCACAAAGGAAATGCTCTAATCCTGAGTATTTTGAATAGTTATAAATTATATTTCAAAACAGTACCACCACCGTGGCGATAGAGTGATTGCGTGCGTGTGAGTCACACACAACCCCAGACAATGGAAACTGTTTGCCTTGAGATTGGCATCAGTTGGCAGCATGTGGCTGAAACCTCCCAGCCTCATCGATATCAAATAATTTGCGATAAAAAATGGTTACAGACACTGGAGAAAAAGAGAAAAATCGATGCATTCCCGGTACATCCAACCCTGGATAGAAGAGCACATCCCGATGGTGATTTGGAACATCCATGGTGTAGGGTATTGGTCCAGTTGTATAAAAAACAACCCTATAGTAAGGTGTTCCCCCTGAAATGTCCCCTGGAGGATAGTCGAGTGGGTGATGATTTTGGCCAAAAGTCCCCGCTGAGTTATTCCATGGCCGTGTACGAGGTAATGTGTGAGAATTTTCGTAATCTTTGGTCAGATTTCTATAAGAAATGTCCAGGGGCCCATGTCAAGGGTGAGAAGGATGGGAAAGCAAAATCCACATCAGCATCATCGATAAATTTATTACCCTATGATGCGGTATTAAAGGAGGTGATTTATCGGGTCTACAAATGTCCCATTATCCATTGTGGTTTGGATCGTTTGCGTGAGGATTCCGGGGATGTTAAATCGGAGGAGTTGGCTTTGGAGTGTCATGCAAATGTTATGCCTGCTTTGATTTGCATTGAGACTAGTCAATATCTGGCTGTGTTGTTTTATCCGCCTGGACTGTCGACCACTTTATATGATTGTATCACCTTTAGTCCGGCGATTCTCCACAAAAATTATAATAAACCTTTGTTCATTGTCTACCAGCTGCTGCAGCTGTTTCGAAGTCTCCACCAACAAGGCTTGGTGGTGGGGGAATTGTCACTGCAGGACATTTTGCTGAACGAGAATCTGTGGGCCTTGGTAATACCACCCGTTGATGCCAATATAACTGCCTACTTTTTGGAAGAGGTTATGACCCATTCACCAAGTGAAGCAACGGGATTACAGGAATTGGATTTACCCATTGATGGTGTCTCTGGTGGGGGCGGTGTGGATACCATGGATGTTTCCAATTTGAAATTGGATTTGAAGTTCTCCTATGATTTGAAACAGTTCACGTTAAGGGATTACTGTGACATGTGGTGTAATGGCCAGATAAGCAATTTTGATTATCTCACAATTTTAAATACCGCCTCCGGACGTTCGCAAAATAATCCCTCCTATCATCACATAATGCCCTGGGTAACAAATTTCGAATCCCGCAATGGTCTGCAATGGCGTGATTTAACCAAAAGTAAATATCGTTTGAATAAGGGTGACATCCACTTGGATTTAATGTTTCAACATGCCACCCAGCAAGCTCATCGCGATCTCGAGGCAAATTGTTCAACCTCACCACAACAGGTGGCCCATCATGTATCGGATTTCCTGTCGGAAATAACATATTTTGTTTATATGGCAAGGCGGACCCCGCAACACATTTTAAGGGAACATGTAAGGCCCATATGGGTACCGGCTGAATATCCCGCCTCTATACAAAGGTTACAAGAATGGACGCCAGATGAATGTATACCCGAATTCTACACCGATCCAATGATTTTCAAGTCGATACATGAAGATTTACCGGATTTGGAAATACCTTCCTGGGCATCATGTCCTGAGGATTTTGTGGCCAAACATCGAGAGGCCTTGGAAAGTCAATATGTTAGCGAGCGACTCCACCATTGGATTGATTTAAATTTTGGCTACAAACTCTCAGGGAAGGCGGCAATAAAATCGAAAAATGTTTGCCTACCCATGGTGGATCAACATAAAACCCTATGTAAACGGGGTATTGTTCAGCTCTTTACACATCCTCATCCGGCGAAGCGAACAATATCACCATGGTTTGTCAAGCAGGCGCCTAGGATACAAAATTTGTTGGCGGGACAGCCAAAGGTGTCGGGGAAACATAAATCCAGCAGAAAGCTTAACAAAAGTCTAGACAATCTGAGTAAATCCACAGAGTCGTTGGATGGGCAGGGTGACAATACGAGCCACAATCCCAAAGTGTCGCCTCGATTGACCCTGAAATTGCCTGAGGATAACATTTCCACCTCCTCCATCTCAAGTTCCAGTAATTTTTATAAGACCACAAATTTCATAGAACTTCCAAAGGACTACAATCCCATTTTGCTGCTACAATCCCTTGAGTCTTCCCAGCAGTTTGTAAGCAAAACTTTCCCCCTACAAAAGCCCACAGAAAATGCCCCGGAAAAAATGCTAACCAGCGATTTGTTGTTCGAAGACTACACGGAGAATCACAGCTTCACAAATCATCTCTTCAATGATGGTGACTCTCCGCTGGACAACAACCCCTCCATCTCGAAAGGGAAAAGTAAAAATTTCCTAGCCTCCAGTAAACAGCCGAACAAGACCATGCCTCTACATGTCCATCATATGAAAAAAATCAAGGACCTTCAGATCTTGGGATGTTTAATTGTAGAGCTATTTGCCATGCCCCGCATTAGGCCCTTGATAGGCCACAATCTCCAACCGAAGTTTGAAACCCGCCTGAAGGCTTGTCTAACCATTATGAAACTGCATAAGCAGGACATTCCGAAATGCCTACGTTACATTACCAAAATCCTTTTGAATCTAAGCTGTCAAGATGTGGTCACCGAAAAGGGTATGCCTTTACCCTCGGCGGGTCAGCTACTCGAACCAATTTATCACAATTTACTAATACCCTTTCCCACCAATTTTTATGCCTCCTATGCTCTCATAAGATCTCTATACTCTTTCGATTTTGCTTTTATACTTCTGGAGTTACATACCCACTTCCAATGCAATGGCCATGAATGTTCACGCTATACCGAAATCGATCGCCTTAGGGTGCAATTTGAACGTAAAATTGGCAAATGTAAGGTTATGGCGTGCTGTGCCCACATTCGTCGTCTCCTGGAACCGGTGGGTTTTGAACAATTTCCACCCATAGATATTCTACTACCTCACATGATAAATCTGCTAACGGATGAGCATACTTCAATCTTGACGGCCTGGAATCTATTCGATAGCGTTGCCCAGGCCCTGGGTATACAAAATACCCAAAAATATCTCCTGCAACCGATCATGAAACTTTATGATGTAGAAAGTTTTGAACGTGGTATGATATCGGTTAGGAATCGTTCGATTACCGATTCCCTATCGAACTCTTCGAGTCATTTAAGGTTCTCTACAAGTAGTTCGTTTAAGTCAAGGAAATCTGTAAAGCTCTATCATCAGATATTTTTACTGCGTCTGATTGTTCGCTTTGGCTTGAAATGTTTTTTGCAAAATTTCATTGCCCCCCTGATAGAGGCTGTGGGGGGTTACAAGGAACCCGAAGATGGTAATGGTCTGCATTATCACAGTTCAGCGGCAGGGGCTAGGCGTAGCAGTCGTAATTTAAGTTTGGTCAATAATCCCACAGTGTTGGTCAATGAGGATGATATGACCTTGATGTCTCCACAAAAACCAGGGGAGGATTTGGAGGATAACACTCTATCCCAGGATGTGGAAGGTAAGTCATAATTCTCTTCACTTATTATAATTTTTAATTAATTCCCTTTCTTCCCCACAGGTTCCAATATCAAACCCGAAATCGAGGACGTCTTCAGTTTTGATGATGATGCCAATTCGGATCACATTTCCACCTCTGACCACATATCCAATAAATCTCTGGACTCCTTTGATATGAGTCAAAGACCCACCACGGCTGAGGAAGCCAAAGAGCTAGAGGGCGATGAGCGGCAATTGGAAACCACTCCCGAAAAATTGGCCATATCCGAAATTATCTATGGTTCAAAAATTAGCAACAATTCATTCGAAGACGCCGATAAAATATCTCTCAATAGTCAAACGGCCAATGATTCACCACTACACAATTCCGCCAGCCAATTGGGACCACGTTCACCCACCATTGCAATACCGGCCAGTGTATTTCGACGATCATATCAACTGAACACAATCGATTGTGATATCGGGTCCCGAAAAAGTGTCGACTCATTTGAGATATTACAAAATGCCGCGGAAGAGGAACAAAAACAGATAAGAGCCAAACTTCGCACCGAACTTGAGGAGGAAAAAAAGACCAAACAACAAAACGAAGGCGGCGAAGCCACAAAATCCAAAGAACCCATTGAGGAAGAACTACCCTCCAGTTTCTCCCAAGAAGCCAATGACTCCCTGCAGGCTTCAGTCATTTCAAAAATGTCCGAAGAAAAATCTTTACAAAATAATTGTATTTCGGAAATGAGTAGCATTAGTCTGATATGGCTGTCGCATCGTTTGGGACCAGTTTTAACATCACGCTACATTGCGAAAAATCTGTTAAAAATGTTAACCCTCTGCTATGTGGGTCAGGAGAATCTTCTACCCGAATCTGGGCGGGGTAATGAAGATTTACAAAATTTAAATTATTTTACGGTATCGGATGCCCGGGTCGTGGGTGACCGCAGTGCTGTAAGGGTGTTGGAATGCCTAATGGCAATTGCTTCGCTCTACGGGGAACAAGTGATTCTTATGCAATATTTTCCGCATATAAGTGAACTGATTGCATTGGGTGTTAAGCGGATCACGAGTAGTTTAGAGGGTGCAATTATTTCCACACTCCAGCTGATGAAATATTTGATACCATGCCTAACGGATGCCACCATTATGGAACATTTGAAGGTAAGTATAAACTATTTCAAGATTCCACAATTTTTTAGGGTGTTACCAAAGGCGTATATTTTTTTAAAAATATTTTTCAAAGGTCTTATCAAATCCAAGAGCTCGAAAAAATATTTCAAAAAATCAACGCCTTCACAAGAGTTCGAAAAATGTTTTTAAAATATCCACGCCTTGAAAAAAATATTTTCTTCGATTTAGCTGGCTTTTGACAGAACTTTCGAGTCGCGTCGGTCTTTTGCGCAGTTTTTCCAAGAAAGACCATTTCCGGCCATGTAGTCTTCGACTTGTTTATGGCGTTTCCAAAGTATATAAAATCTTTGACTACCTCGAATGCGGCTTTATAGTCGACGAATAGGTGGAATGTGTCGATGTGTTTTTCGTGGATCTTTTCCAGGATTTGGCGCAGAGTGAAAATCTGGTCAATGGTGGATTTGTTAGGTCTGAAGCCGCATTGGTATGGTCCAATAATGTCATTGACCATTTGCTTCAGTCGTTCATACAGCACGCTGGATAGCACTTTATATGCGTTGGCCAATTTGTACTAATCAGCTGGTGTATGCTCCTTACCGACATCTGACAACCAGCCTTGAATAGTTCGGCTGGTAACCCATCGGCACCTGCTACTTTATTATTCTTCAGCCGATTGATTGATATTCTGACCTCATCTTGACTAAGTGGTATATCCTCTACACCGTCATCTTTTATTGGTTCTGGGGTATCGTCTTCACATCCACCATTTCATACCAGAAGCTTTTCAAAATGCTCCTTCCAGATCCTCAACACGCTGTCTGTGCCTGTCACCAGGTTTCCTTCTTTACCTCTTCAGGAGGATGTGCCTGCGCCAACGCCTTCGGTTTGGTGTTTTACCCGTTGGTAGAATTTTCGGACTTCATTCTGACTCCTGTACATATCGATTTGCTCACGCTCACGTTTTTCTTGTTCTTTCTTCTTTTTTCTGAAAATACGTTTCTCCTCTCTCCTTTTTCTCCCGATAATTCTCCATCGCATTACGTGTTGCTACCGTCTGCAGGGTTGCCCTATACGCTACGTTTTTCACATCAGTAGCATTAAGACATGGGTTTCTTGATGGTGGTTTTTGGTACCCAAGTGTTGCTTTTGCTGAAGTTTGTAGAGCGTGGGCAATTCTTTTCCATTGTGCTTCTATACTATTATCGGAATAAGAAGTGTTTTCGTCAAGCATGTTGGTAAGTTGAGCGGAGTAGGCCTCGGCTATCTGTTGTGTTTGCAGCTTTTCGACGTTGAGTTTCCGTGTTGTGTTACATCGCACCTTTGCTGCTACATTCCGACGGGTGCGTACCTTGGCTGCTACAAGGTAGAGGTCCGAATCGATATTCGCTCCCCGTATCGATCTAACGTCTAAAACATTGGACGAATGCCTTCCTTCTATCACAACATGGTCAATTTGATTTCTCGTTGTTCGATCGGGAGAAATCCAAGTGTATATCGAGATGCTTGAATCTGGCGCTGCTAACTACCATGTTTTTTGCTGTCGCGAAGTCAATCAACCTCATGCCGTTGTCGGATGTTCCTTCATGGAGGCTGATTTTTCCGACGGTGGGGCCAAAGATATTTTCCCTTCCGATTTTTTCATTAAAATCTCCAAGCAGACTTTTAATGTCATGGCCAGGGCAGCGGTCATATGCTGTTTCTAGGCGCACGCAAAATATATCTTTGGTCCGTTCATCTTTATCTTCGGTCGGAGCATGGGCGCAGATAAGACTGATGTAGAAGAAGTTCGCTTTTATACGGATTATAGCAATTCGCTCATCTACTGGAGTGAATCTGGAGACGAGGTCTTTTATTCTCCTGGTAACCATAAATCCGCAACCAAATTCACGTCTCGTTTCATGACAGCTGCAATATAGGGCGTAATCATCTGATTTATTTACCCCAGTCCCTCTCCATTGCATTTCCTGTAAGGCAATAATAGCGGCTTTGTACTTCTTGAGTACATCCGCCAAAGCGAAAACTGCGCCTGTTTTGTACAACGTGCGCACATTCCAAGTGCAGATTCGCAGATCGTGGTTTGCGGGGGTCGTCAACATTAGGTGGGTTTGGTTTTCTTTTTCTTTGCTTTTTCATAGTAGTTTCGGTTTTCCGAGTGTGGACATCTAACCCGACGCCTCAACCCATTTTTTTATAGTTCTTATGGGTAAACTCGAGACACATATTAGCTCACTATTTCAACGGGTGATGAAAAAAGCTACCCCAGATGACACCGCGGGGAGGTCAGTGTCCACAATTGGGATGATAGAGGGACCAAGGTAAGCCTGGACTTCGCCATGTTAAAGCCAATCAGAGCCGTTAGAGCCTACGCCACTCTAAAAAATATTTTTTTAAAATAATCAAAGAGATTAAAAAAAATTAACGTATTGAAAAAAATATTTTTAACAAATCTACACCTTGAAAAAAAAAAGAATTTTTATAACGGCCTTCTAATTTTTTTAGGATATCCTCCTGGATTCGATTATCCTTCCCGTATTACGTTTCCTGGGCTCAGCACAAGTCCTTATGCCCAGCGGTTACTTGGGTCGCTCCGTCTTAGCTCGCAAATTCTTAGATGCTGTTTATGTACTTAGTGTCCGTCTAGGCTCAGATATGACCCGTGAACATTTATGTTTTACGGTACTGCGTCCATTCTTCCTGATATTCGACAAGGCTTTTGGGGAGACAATCAATTTCGAGAATAATGATAATCGCACTGCCCAAATATCACCACCAAATCCCGAACGCCAACACGAAGCCAAGCGAGAACTTGAAGAAATCGGTGATGTGTTCAGTCCAGCATTGGCGCATAGTGCCTATTTGGCATTTTTACGTTTTCTCGGAGAGGATATCATGAGAAAGACCTTGTTAAATTTGGAATTTGTCCTGACGCTGTGTCATGAATTTGAACAACCGGATTACAAGCCGTTCACTATGAATTCTCGAAAATCAAGTGATGCTGTTGATTGCCCTGTGGGAACGGCGACATTGGAAGCGGGAAGTGCAGCGGGGGATAGTCAAGCGGCAAATAGTTTTGGTACGCAAGTGGTGGGTAATCGCATTGAGGTTGTGAGTCCCACCACCCAACAGACACCAAAGATCATTTCAAAGGAGAAGGTCCAACCAATCGATACAATGGAAGTATTGGATATGGTGGCCTATAAATTTGAACATTTACCCAATACACGATATCTGAAGGGTAATTGGTTGGCCTATTGGCGTCATGAAATAACACGTTCCGAGAAGGATACCACTTTGAGTTTGCAGCAGATTAAATTGCAATCGTTTGTCGGGCATACCAATTCGGTAAGGGCCATCTTGGCTTTGGATAATGAAAATAGTTTTATATCGGCATCGAAGGTAAGTACAAGTTGAATAGGAATATAAGTTCTCCCTTTTAATTTAATTTCTTCTTTCAGGATAAAACCGTGAAATTGTGGTCTCTACGCAGTGAGGGTGATGGCTTCAAAACAAAATCCTGTCAATTCACCTATACCGATCATCGCAAGTCCATACATTCCTTGGCCTTTTTGGAATCGTTGCGGTTTGTGGTCTCTTGTGATTCGGGGGTGCACATATGGGATCCATTTATAGGCCGGCCCCTGGGAGTATTGGATTCTCCCAAACATAACCCCATAACAATTGTCAAATGTCTACCCTCCCCCTCGCCATTGGTTTTGGCCGGCACAGCAGAGGCCTCGGTGAAAATTATCGATGCACGTTGCATGCAATATGTCAATGAGTGGCGAGTCAGCACAAATACCCAAAATAATGCCACGGTGAGATGTTTGACAGTTGCTCCGTCGGGTAATTGGATGGCTGTCGGATTATCCTCGGGTTATATTGTTATGCTGGATACCCGCACGGGTATGATCTTAAATTCATGGCGTCGCATGGAATGTGATATTTTGCAGCTGGCTGCACCCAATGATCAACAGCTGATTAGCTCCGCACTCGATCATAGTTTGGCGGTGTGGCATGCTCATGATGGTAATCTGCACTATCAGTTGGTGTAAGTGCGAAACATAACCTTAAAATTTAAATTTTAATAATTTAAAAATATTTTAACGTTTTTTTGTCAAATAGACCCCCTGCCGAACCCGCCCATTTCTTGCAAACCAATGGTCCCGAGTTGGTATATGCCACAACTGGCAATCGCATTGGCATCTATTCGGATCTAAGCAGCTCACATGCCTCACACACCGTGACCAAACTGAGATCGGAAACATTTAAAGGTGTTCTAACCTCTTTGGCTGTCTTGCCGTTAAATCGTGCCTTTTTGGCCGGCAATGAAAGTGGCAATATTTCCCTATTGTGTTGAAACGATAAAAGACAAACGAAACGGAATTTCCAGAACAATTTTTTATAAATGTAATTTTTTTAAATAGAAAAAAATTTTAATTTGTTTATTTATTTTTTTCAGAACATTCTCATGATCTTTACATACATACATACGTATACACATAAAGAGCAATACTCTTTTGATATTATTTTAAACCAAATATTATTTTTTCTAGCAAAAAAATTATTTAATCTCATATTTTTATTCTTTTAGAATATAGGTCTTGGTGTTTTGTTTTATTTCAATTTTTATTTTAATTTTAGTCTATTTATATTACACAAAATATTTTAAAAATTATATAAATAAAAAATATTTAAAAAACACAAAACATTTTTCGATGACCAACAAGGCGTAAATTTGTTAAAGAATATTTTTTCAAACATCCACACAAGGCGTGGATTTTTTAAAGAATATTTTTTCAAACATCCATCCACACAAGGCGTGGATTTTTTAAAGAATATTTTTTCAAACATCCATCCACACAAGGCGTGGATTTTTTAAAGAATATTTTTTCAAACATCCACACAAGGCGTGGATTTTTTAAAGAATATTTTTTCAAACATCCACACAAGGCGTGGATTTTTTAAAGAATATTTTTTCAAACATCCACACATGGCGTGGATTTTTTAAGAATATTTTTTCAAACATCCACACAAGGCGTGGATTTTTTAAGAATATTTTTTCAAACATCCACACAAGGCGTGGATTTTTTAAGAATATTTTTTCAAACATCCACACAAGGCGTGGATTTTTTAAGAATATTTTTTCAAACATCCACACAAGGCGTGGATTTTTTAAGAATATTTTTTTAGATGGGTCTATCTATCACGGCACAGGGGAAGATAGATACCAAGCAACGGCTCTGATTGGCTTCAACATGGCGAAGTCCAGGCTTATCTTGGTCCCTCTTTCATCTCAATTGTGGACACTGACCTCCCCGCGGTGCCACCTGGGATAAGAACTATAAAAAATGGGTTGAGGAATCGGGCTAGTTGCCCACACTCGGAAAACCCAACCTACTATGAAAAAGCAAAGAAAAAGAAAACCAAACCCAGCTAATGTTGACGATCCTCGCAAACGTATAAAGGGCCACAGTCTGCGAATCTGCACTTGGAATGTGCGCACGTTGTACAGAACAGGCGCAGTGTTCGCTTTGGCGGATGTACTCATGAAGTACAAAACCGATATTATTGCGATCGAAAGGGACTGGTGTAAATAAATCAGATACGCCCTGTGTTATAGCTGCCATGAAAAGAGACATGAATTCGGCTGCGAATTTATGGTTAACAGGATAATAAAAGACTTCGTCTCCAGATTCACTCCAGTAGATGAGCGAATTGCAATAATCCGTATAAAAGCGAATTTCTTCTACATCAGTCTCATTTGCGCCCATGCTCCGACCGATGATAGAGATGAACAGACCATCGAAAGGGACTGGTGTAAATAAATCAGATACGCCCTGTGTTATAGCTGCCATGAAAAGAGACATGAATTCGGCTGCGAATTTATGGTTAACAGGATAATAAAAGACTTCGTCTCCAGATTCACTCCAGTAGATGAGCGAATTGCAATAATCCGTATAAAAGCGAAGTTCTTCTACATCAGTCTCATTTGCGCCCATGCTCCGACCGATGATAGAGATGAACAGACCAAAGAAATTTTACAAGCGCCTAAAAGCAGCATATAACCGCTGCCCTGGCCATGACATTAAAATTCTGCAAAGAGATTTTAATGCAAAAATCGGAAGGGAAAATATCTTTGGCCCCACCGTCGGAAAATTCAGCTTCCATGAAGAAACATCAGACAACGGCATGAGGTTGATTGACTTCGCGGCAGCAAAAAACATGTTAGTTAGCAGCACCAGATTCGAGCATCTCGATATACACAAGGCCACTTGGATTTCTCCCGATCGAACAACGAGAAATCAAATCGATCATGTTGTGATAGACGGAGCGAATATCTATTCGGACCATTACCTTGTGGCAGCCAAGGTACGCATCCGTCTTAATGTAGCAGCAAAGGTGCGATCTAATTTAACACGGAAATTTGACGTCTAAAATTTGCAAACACAACAGATAGCAGAAGTCTACTCCGCTCAACTTACCCAACTGCTTGACGAAAGCACCCCTGCGATGGAGAACTATCGGTAGAAAAGGAGAGAGGAGAAACGTATTTTCAGAAGAAAGAGCAAGAAAACGTGAGCGTGAGCAAATGTACAGTAGTTAGAATGAAGTCCGAAAATTCTACCAACGGGTAAAACACCAAACCGAAGGCTTTGGTGCAGGCACATCCCCCTGTAGAGATGAAGAAGGAAACCTGGTGACAGATACAGACAGGGTGCTGAGGATCTGGAAGGAGCATTTTGAAAAACTTATGGTATCAAATAGTAGCAGTGAAGTGGATACCCAATAACCAATAAGAGAGGCTGAAGAATAATAAAGCAGCAGGTGCAAAATTAATACGGCTTTGCAGGATAACTTTAACTGGCACAAGATCAGCAGTTAAAGTCGGAAAATACTTCTCGGAGCCCTTTAATACCGAATGAGGATTCAGACAAGGTGACAGTTTGTCGTGTGACCTTTTTAACATCCTGCTGGAAAAGTTCATACGAGAGGCAAAGGTGAACAGAAATGACACTCTGTACACCAAACAACACAAGTTACTCGCCTACGCCGATGACATCGACATAATGGGTCGAACATTGCGAGCGGTAACAGTCACCTTTGAACAAATTGAGAATTAGTCTGCCAAAGTGGGTCTGACAGTAAACGGCGAGAAGACGAAGCTGATAGTATCAACGCGCGAGACGTCCAGTAGACTTGGACCAACTGTGGAATTTGAGAACTACAGCTTCGAGGTAGTCAAAGATTTTATATACCTTGGTACCGCCATAAATAAAACTAATGACATCAGTTTTGAAATTCGGAGAAGGATAGTTATGGCCAACCGATGCTACTACGGTCTGAGCAAACAACTCAAAAGCAAAGCCACCTCCCGCCAGACCAAAGTCACACTCTGCAAGACGCTGATACTACCCGTGCCGTTCTATGGATCTGAAGCATGGGTACTTGCGCAAGCATATGAGACAGCTCTTGGAGTGTTTGAGAGAAAAAATCTCCGAAAGATCTATGGGCCGATCTGCGTTGACGGTGAATGTCGGCGTCGAATGAACCATGAGCTTTACAATTTATACGCGGACATCGACATAGTCAGTCGTATTGGGCTGCAGCGACGACGGTGGCTGGGCCATGTTGTGCGAATGAAGGAGAATGCCCCAGCTCAAAAGGCATATAAAAGCGAGCGTACTGATGGTTCCCGTAGAAGGGGAAGGCCACGAATTAGATGGAAAGACCAATTAGAAAACAACATCTTGGAACATGATCTTCCAAATTGGTGGATTTGCGCACAAGACCGACGCGCTTGGGAATCTTTTTAAGCTCGGCTTATGGAACAACCGTTCTGTAACAAGCCAAGCTAAGTAAGTAAGTTTTTTAGGATCTAAAAAATGCGTGGATTTTTTAATGAATACTTTTTGAGGGTCTAAAAAAGGCGTGGATTTTTTAAAGAAGATTTTTTTCAGGCTATGCCAAAGGTGTGGCTGTGAAAAAAGCCAGGTGTGTACAAGATCCTCAGGTTTCCATAGCATATCGGTCTCCCCCTCGTATCCACAATTAATGCGTTGGTTGATGCCTTGCAGATTCTGTTGGATGTGCTTCATCTTTTATTTTTTGCCTCTGCTATTTTTTGCTGGTTCTCCCCCAGCATAGGATTTTTCAATTCCCCCTTTAGTCAACTGGTGTTGTGGCGGCTGTTGATGTGTTCCCTTAGCGCCTTTGCGGATTGAAGGCATATTTCTTGTTGTTGTTTTATTTTCGTATTTACTTATTTTTGATTGCTTCTGCATCATTACAGCAGTTCTGTGTTATTTTTGCAGTTTTTTTCAAGTGGTGTCGTTGTTATTGTTGTGACTGGTGTTGTTGTTGTTGGTGTTGTCTGTGGTGGAGCAATAATATTAATACGTTTTAGTTATTTTCAAGTTCACTTCATTGGCGTTGACGACGATAATATTCTGCTTGCTGTGGTGAAGGAGATGAAATGGCCTGTCTGAATGGTGTCTGTCCATCCTGCTTGTTTTTCGGTCTTTCTTTCTTATTTTGTGTCGAGATGAAGATGCGTTTTGTTGATCATTTCTGATCGCTTGTTACAACGAGGATTTGTATGAGGACAATAGTGCGTCTAATTTCTTTGTTTGGACACACGGATCGGGATGCTGGGCCTGGCTGGCGTCCAATACAAGTGGGTGAGATGCCACAGAGCATATTGTGTGGCTGGTTACTACACCACACATTTTCGATGAGGACCAATTGGGGCACCAAACAAATTTGCTTTGTTAGTCCTCCTAAATGCAATGAAATGCTTCCTTTTCGGTTGATGCAAAAATCCGATGCTAAAAATTCCCTTTTTAGTGCAAAGATTGTGCGTCTTGTGATCGAGACCTTGAAACTCATGTCCCTATGTAAAGCGGCTGAAGTTGCGTATTTTATTTTACGCCATGTGATGTGTTACACAGTCAGATCGATGATGGACAAAATGATGATCTCTTGTCTGCTGTTGTTGTATATTTGCTTTTACATCATCTGATTAACCCCTAAACGACTAGAGGGTCATTATCTGATCTGATATACAATGTTGGGCAATATGATTACTACACTGAAGGATAAAATATAGCTGTGGATTTTTTAAAATATTTTTGGAACAATTCTAGTTTAGGGCCTCCTCGCGATTTGTTTTGAAAATTTTACCACTTTTTTCTTGCGGAAATCCGAAGATATGGGCGTTGGGATGCTTGTAATTTCTCATACATTTTTAAAATTTACTAACACAATAAGGATATAATTTTAATGCATCTAAAGCCCTTAATTCAAAATTATAATATTAGTCCAAATAAGTCCATACTTTCTGAGATATGGGTCTCCAAAAT